CACGTTTTTCTTGCTTCCTCCGCGTCCTGCAGCAGCCTCGGTCTCGTACTTCTTCCTGTTCTTCTTCACATCCCGGACCAACCGTTCCGAGCACTTGAAGCGATCTGCTAGCTGCTCATGAGTCACCTTCTGATCCATCAGCTTCAGCATCTCACACTTGGCGCTGAAATCTGGCCGCGCACGAGGCTGAGACTTGTTACTCCCCCCATTCGTGGCCTTCGGACGTTTAGATTGTGCCTTCCCAGTGCTGTCTGCTGCTGACACTTTGCGCTTGCCGGCTTTGGCGACGCACGCGCTGCAGATGCGGTGATTCTCGTTGCCTACATCAACCACACTGCCGCAAATGCCGTGCAGTCGCCCGCCACATCCTCCCTGGCAGCCGTGACCATGAGGGTCTTGCGGCGTGGTGTCCTGTAGTTGGCACAGTTCACCTTCCGCACAGGGCATGGTACGCCCCTGTGTAGAGCTGTTCGGGTCTGCAGCAGCACGTGTACCCTATTTCTGTGTGTGGAGTCTATGTTTTCTGCCCTGGGTTGTGCGTGTGTGTGTTTCGCGCGTGCGGAGTACCGGCACTATTGGGGGTGACAGCAGTGCCGAACCGGCACTATATCGGGCATGCTTTAATTAGTGCCGGTCTGGCACTATTGAGAGCTCCGCCTGTGTGCAGAGATTTTACCGGCACTATACCGGGCATCTGGCACTATTCAACCGGCACTAAAAGGGTACCTCGACTGTATATATTTTCTTTTCTGGCCCTGCCTCATGGACTACCGTATTTTTGTCCACTTCGGCTGTGCCGGACAAAACCTCGGACCGCCATGCAGGGCACGGACGTAATAGTAGAACGCTCCCCCCCTTCCGACCAAATATATTAACGTAGGTCATTCGCAGCTGTCATCCGTAAGCAAGGAAGAACAACACGCCGAACACCCCTTGCCGGATGCAGCGCCTCCTCCAGGCGACTGGCCGAACACGTCACAGCGCTCTGCGCTTGATGATTTGCTTGCTGCTGTAGCCTGGACCGGTGAAAACCCGGCGTGCTCCGTTTTTGCTTCGTAGGAATGAATGCGAGGTCAACGGTCGAACGACTCCGAAATGCGCGGCTGGCTATGAGTACACACACACCATCTGCCCTCCTCAGGGCGAACCACCGCCATGCGGGTAGAATACTTCGGCGAAACACGATCATGAACGGCCGGGATGGGTAGCACCGTACTTTTTGCTCGTTCCTCGCAATTCCAGCACACGCGAAGGTATGCATAGGTTCTTTGTAAAAGGAGAGATCTGGCACTATTTTTTTTTTTTATGTGACGACAACAACAGAAACACCAGCAGGTAACAACGTAAACAAACAAGACAGAAACAACGTCGAACCCAAAAACAGTACAAATAGATAAATTCATCTCTCGTTTCTTCCCCTAAAAAGGCTTCGTTGCTCAACCTCACCGCTTCTCGTCGCGGGGTATAGCGGGACTGTCTTAAAAACAAACTCGCGCCTCCAACAACGTCTCTCGGAGTACGAGGACACACAAAACCAAAAAGAGTCTGAACGTGCTACCGTTCTCACGTCCAACACCATCTGGAAAACCTGGACATGGATACTGCGCCTCCAACACCATCCATGCGGAACACCTTTGACAAGAGAGACTACACGCCTCCAACAACATTTGGGAAGGCTTTGGCAGTGAGAGACTACCTCTACGACACCATCTGGGAACCATTCCAAAGAGAGAGGACCCCGCCAAGAAGGGCGCGCGCGGGGGGG